ACTAACACAATTTTTAGAATGTGGTCAGCATTGTTCATAGGTTGCCTTTACTTTCAGCACAAGTTGGTGTCCATCTATCTAAGTCCAGTGGGCTTCACGCCACCACTGAAAAAAAAAACAATATAAGGATTCAGTGTCTTGACCACTGAGTTATGAGCTATAATTAAAAGGTAATTAGTTTAGGTTGTGTATTTCATACCATTGTATGCTCGAATTAAGAAATTTGTTTTGCAACATCTCAAATGGTGCACTTTAAAATAATTTTTTCTCCTACCTAATATTGGCGATCGCAACTCTCGAATACGCCATCTGGGGAGAGACCGATTTCATGTCCTTGGCCCTTCTCTCTCCTCTTTCCAGTTGTATAGGAATGTACTACGATGTTTTTCCCTTTTCTTAATATTTTTTCTTTTTATTTAATAAAAACATTTTTTAAAATTTCGGTGATGTTTTTTTCTAGAACTACGTTTAATGTAGTTTTCAGTTCCATATAGTTTTCCAACTTAAAGATTTTAATCTATGTGAAAATCAAGAGAGAAATTAACGTACTTCCTTCCTCTATGACTCTCCACACGCTAATGGGGAAAGCATGTAAAATGTTGCCATAGGTAGAGAGTTCTGCCCTACGCCACCTGCAGCCCATTTCGATCGCCAATATTGATAGTACCTTGACTAAACCCTTGAATTGATTAATTTAAAAAATTATTAACTCATTTAGACAAACATTTTTTTTTGTAAATTATAATTAGTTTACTTATCAGGGAACATAGTATATTCATGATTTATTGGAAATATTCGCATATAAGCAGGAGTGCAGAAAATTCTCAGTCCCTAATGTTTCCTCAGAACAAAGTTCTTTTTTTTTTATTATTATCAAAATTTCCCCCAAAATTTTTCTTTCAGTACAATAACTTTTAAAAAATATTTTTGGAAAGTAAAGTTTATATAAGAAAAGAAATACCAACTAATAATTCAATTATTTTGGCTTGATTTATAATTATACTAATATATAATGCAAGTATTGTGCATGATTTTATATCGAATAAAATGTCCCCAATGTTAATGAAGAAACTTGTCCCAGGTTTTCGACAGTTTATCTCAGATTTCAACCATTTATGACACTTTTCAACAGGTTTTTGATGTGTCAAGTCAAAAACCAGTTTTTGATTTCAAATTCCTCACCCTGTAATTAAGATATGCATACTAACAAAAAAGCTCCCTTCTTTATTGGAAGTCCTTCATAAATACAAATTAGTTCTTCATAAATACATTAACAAAATGCAAATAATTTCCAAAGACTTTACATGATCATATTAAAATGACTAGATTCTGACAAAGAACTTCTTTCTTGATTATATTATTGCCACCATAAAAACAATTTATACACAATTTTAAAGATATTCAATATTAAGTGGCTCAGTCTATTTTTATATTAATAATTACATCAGTTATGTAAAAAAAATTAATTAATTAAACTATTAATTAAAAAGGTTATAGAGTGTATTTTTAGATTTAAATAAAAGTTATTTATAAAGGCATATTCAACAGAACATTAACTAAATTAATCATTCCGAATTTATAAAGATATGTAAAGAATTAAGCAAACTAAAAAAAAACTAATAAATTCATAATACAAATAAAAATTAGTGAATGGCCGCTAGAAAAAATTTCATTATTATTTGTTACTTGTTTCAGTATTTTTTTTAATAAAATGATTAAAAAAAGTTCAAATAATTTTTAAATGTAAATACAATGAATATTGAAGATAAACATTTTTGTCAGAAGTTAATTATTACACGGTCCCTATATTCATAATATTTAACAAATTTGAATTTTCTATTTCAATTGTTTGTGAATAAAATCATTAAGAGATGAATAAAATTTTTTTGGAAAGACAAATCTGAATTTTTTTTACATAACTAAACATAAGATTTTTTGCTGCATTTAAAATATTAAAAGCCCCTCATTTCATAATTTTTTAAAATCTTGCCTCTAAATATTATTGAGTTATCTCATGAAACTACTTAAGAGTACTGAACATTTTAAAAGTAATAATTCCGTACCTTGTCTTCTGGATTGGTTTGTTGAATAATCAATAAAAAAAAATAAGCAAAAAAAAGTAATTAAGTATAATAAAAGTTTAAAAAAATTTGGTCCCGCAGGTAAAAATATTAATCTTAAAATTCTCAACTAATTATTAAAGTTAATGAATAAAAATGAGATGGAAATTTTGAGGTGATGAAGCTTTGGGAATCTGGACTGCTCTGTGGACCCATATGAAAATACAAAATAAGTGAATGATCCTCCAAGTCAAGTACAAGTATTACGATACTGATCTATAAATCGAATATCGCGAGGCTATTAGCTTGCCAGGGACAAAGACGATGGCGCGTCACCATCGACGAAATTAACAAGAGAAATAAAATTTTCTACCGCTATTGGGAAAAAAATTTGACAATGTTTAGCTGGTCCCTGTAAGATTTTTGGGTTTGAATTCAAAAGGCAGAAAATAAAGCCTGAAATTGAATATCTCTTGCAAAACGCAGCAGAGTTGCAAATGAGAGGGCAAGAATCCTTCCCACTGAATCCAGGTAAGTATGATCACCTGCAAGTATTTCAAACATGTAAAATAAATGGAGTTTTCATTTGCTACGAACTGACGGTACGCCTAAATCGATTGGATAGAATTAATTGTGGAAACGTTGAATAGAAAAATTTCTTTTTTGCATAATTTGTGGCGAAAACCAACATGGTAAAGAAAAAATATCTCATTTTGGAAAAAATTAAGCACTTTTTAAAAACGAAAATAAATACCTTCAAGCACTTTTTAAAAAATCTATGCACCCTGTTAATACATTAGAATCCTGATTATCCAAACCTTTTTAATTCGAATATCTCTTAACCAAAGTCTATGTGTCTCTCCTTTAGAAAAATGCTTCCATAAATGGAAGCATTTTTCTTAATTAATTATAATTTTCTTAATTATAATTAAGATCATGAATAGAAAAATTTGGATAGATTGCTTTGATTTTGCTAAAGAAATCCGAGTACATCAGAGAACTACTATCTGCAGTAACAGTGCCAGCGAGTATAACCATTCNATTTTGCTAATGAAATCCGAGTACATCAGAGAACTACTATCTGCAGTAACAATGCCAGCGAGTATAACCATTTGGAGAAGAAAAAAAGAAATTTATTAAACGGTCATATTAAATATTACGTCACTATTGATTTTGTGGTCATATGGCTGCTTTTAAACATGAATTTACATAGAGTATCACCAAAACGATACTGGAAAGAGTATATAAAAAAAAATTGGTTTCAGAGTTTAATGATGAATATAGATCAAAAATGATGTTGCCTCTGTGATTTAAATATCCTAATTATTCAAAATAGGTTTGGCCCCAATTTATCTGGATAGTCAAATACTATACCCTATTCAATTTATGGATTTAAAAAAGAAAATAAACAATGAAATAAAATAAAAACAAAAAAAATAATAAAATAAACATTTCAGCACATTTAAAATATTTGAATTTAGAGCAGTTGCATAGATGCACCTTCAACATAAATGACCAAACCATATGACAGGGATGGCGAACCAATGGCACGAGACACAATATTTTGGGCACGCCACCGATCACAATTGTTATTACACTATGAAGCATATGCAACAATTAAATTGAAATTCACAAAAACAAACAAAATATTAAACAATTATTAATAAAAAAATTAACAACAATTAATGTTAAAAAAACAATTAGTAACCATAAAAAACAAGCTAACAATAAATAGCTATAAAAAAAATAACAGTCCCGCTTAAACCTAACCTCTTACAACCCAATATAAGTTATTTGTCATCTAATCTGCAACAACAGAAGTCACACTGATGTTACTTTAAATTGTTTTAAGACATGGTAAAATATTTTTTTTCAATGTAAATAAAGAGTTGATAGTATTTATTATTATTATTTTCCCAATAAGCACGAAGTCAAAATTATTTGACGGTACGTCTCTGACCTCACTAAACAATTTTTAAGAAAAATTGGCACGTTGGTGTATAAAGGTTCGCCACCCCTGCCCTATGATATATAATGATTCCGTAATTTCAATATTTAAAAATCAAACAAATCCTTCACATTTTAAGACAAATAAAAATTAAAAAAAAAAACTTTTATAGAAATTGATGTACTTTGACTGTTTTCTATACATAATAATAAACGCGGCTGTGTGTGTGTCTGTTTGTAATCACAATATATCGCCCCAGAAGCATCGCCAAGGCACGAAACTCGGCACATAATTGTGTTTTGACATAATGAAGAAGTATTTTTTTTCTTTTTCAAAAATTTGGATTAGTTTTTTAGTTATCAGTCATTTTGTAAGAAAATCTATGCTTTTTCGTCTTCAAAGAGCCATATTCAAAAAACTATTAAAAAATGCATATACTTTTCTCCACTCTTATAAATGTATGCTAATGCGAACCTTACAATTGAAATATTAATTTTCGACAACTTAAACCAATAATATACGAAGGAATTAATAATTTAATTGTAAGGTTCGCATTAGTTTGCATTTATCAATGTGGAGAAAAATGTAACTATTGTATTAAAAATGTGGCAGCATATTCGATACGTAAATAGAACGCTTCGCTTTGATATATTTGTCGCTGTTCATAATATTAAATATGGTTATTATAGGTTAGGTTACCATAGGCCTTAGGTTACCATAGCAAAGTTACATCTTCAAACATCCTCAAGAGCTATTAAACATCTGCAGCAGAACTGGATATGAAGACAAAATTGCAGGACAGGAACACTTTAATTGTCCACTAATCTTCAGATTTCCTGCTATGTTTTAAAAAACTTTATTTGTGAAAACCTTTAGCGTGGCGGACAGCTGGCCGCATGAGGCGGCTAGTATTTAAATAAAAATATGAAAGTAAATATTGCAAACAATCTAAGAAGTACTATATGAAAATGCACTTAAAATAAAACAGATAATCAATGTAAAATACTGTTTATTTAGTAATAGAAATTTTTGAATACAAATTTATTTAACTCTTTCATATGAGTTAGTAATTTTCACATTCTTTGATATGGAACAAATGGGCAAAAATTTAGAATATTAATCTGTTATTTATAAGTGTAACATATAAGGTAAAATATAATTTAATTACTATATGCTTCCAATTGAGAGACATAAAAAAATCAATACAATAGAAACTGTACATGAATTATAAAACTACATGACAATTTAAATGAAGGACTTAAATGAAAATTATTTGAGATGCTAGTTAAAATATTTTGTTTTACAGAATGAAATAATGTAATACACTTCAGATAAGAAAAAATTACACATACACACAAATGTTTTAAATTAGACACACACTACAATTAACCTAGATAGCTAGATTGGCAACAAAAAATTTGCAAGATCTTAGCATAAAAGGCTCTCCTGTCAGAGAGTGAAAAATTAAGATGTACTTAAAATAAATACTGAGATGCCAAAAAATAAATACTGAGATGCCAAGAGCTATCTAGAATCCTGGTAAACAGCCAATAACAGTGAATCCAAATACTGTGCTTAACAATAAGAGTGAAAGTAGAAATAGTCTATAAGTATTTCTGCATGATAAAAATTCTAGATTAGACTCGAAAGTAAATTTTGCAAAATTGGTATTTTGTTTGCAGATGTCATACACAATTTAAAAAAAAATAAATAAAAAAATTGATAAATAAATATTTTTGTACTTCTATTGCATTTATGTTGCAATTTATTGCTTAATCATGAATCTAAAATGCCTTTTAAAAACTAAAAATGATTAACTTGACATTTAATTTATTAATAAAAAAACTGGAAATCAAATATGTAAAGATAATTTATTCCTCTATCACGAATTTTTATCATACATATATTTGGTAACTGAATTTTGAACACTATCTGTCAGCTTCTATTATGCACAAATACCGCTAATTAAAACTTTTATAACTATAGCAAAGAGAAAGATTAACGCTGTAAGGAAATTATCAAAATAAATGATCAAATATAGGTCACAGTTACTAGATTTTACACAAAAATTGTTTTTTAATAATAACATTATTAAATGAACTCTTAGTTATTTCTTCTCCGTGCAGCTCTTTAAGTGCATAAAATCAACACTGTTATGAAATTATAAAAATAAGTGATTAAAATCTGCACCACAGTTAGCAGACTTGACACAAAAACAGATTTCAAATAATAACATTATTAAATAAACTATTCTTCTTCTTTGAAACTCATCAAATACAGCAAAAACATAATGATATTATCAAAAAAAGTGATCAAAATATGCACTATGGTTATTAGATTTTACACAAAAATAGTTTTCTAACAATGACATAATTAAATGAACTCTTCGGCATTCCTCTTTCTTGCAAGTCTTTAAATATATTTTACAATCATCAAAATAATCCTCAAGAAATTCTTCAAGTTCATCTGAGAGTGGTTTATTGATACAAGCAAGAAAAGAAAAAATCCATCTGTTAATATCAACATCCATACCACAACTTCTATACCATTTAGTAGTATATCCTAACATTTTGTGAATTTTCCCCTGCTCCAAATGAACCAAGTAGCTTAGCAATGGTAAATGGCCTTTAACAGATGAACGTGGATTGCATCCATACACTTTTGCGGATTTTGCTGATCCAAGGCAAAAAGCACAACATTCTATTTCATCATCCACAGGCATTACAACCCTTTGAGGATGTTTTTTCTTCAGAAATTCCCTAACACTTTTCAGCTGATTAGCAAAATGCGCAAAGTCTGCAGCAACTTTTCTCTTCCAAACTTTATCTACTTCTTTTCTCTCTTTACCCACGGTAGATTTTGAATCTTCATTATGTTTTAAAGCATGAAAGTCAAGAAGTGAATCTTCTAACCTGGATTTGTGAATAAACTCATTTCCATCAGCAGGAACAGTGTTCAAATCAATAGCTCTGGGGGCAGGTTGGACATACAAAGCCTTCTGGCATAAGTGAGAGACTTCACCTTCACTGAATGAGTCTTCAGAGTCACTCATCTTGCCAATTCTTAATTTGAAAAAAAAAAAGATGTTAAAATAATTAACATAATAATTGGAACTTTTCCATTTTGTAAATACAGGCTATATGAAAAAGTTGCCAATGCAATGGCACCAAGTGCAAAAATTTTTTCAAAAAAACTTTTCTTCCTTATTTTTTTTTAGGTGACAGCTATTTTTTTTTAAAAAAAATTAAATAAACTAATACCATAAATAATAATAAATAACCAGCACCAGCAAAATGGAAAAGTATCTAATTGAAATAGTCTAATTTGATAAAAAAACTTTTTTTTAATTACAAATATCTATGAGTTATTGCATTTTCCAGTGCACACGTCAACCTCCTATTTTGAAATTTGAAATGGGATTTTTGTGGGCTATTGTCCTAGTAACAATTTTCCCATATCCCCAGTTGGGTTCAAAATTGGCTCAATGTGGGACCTATAACAACGTGCACCGAGGGATCAATATAGGAAGGTCTAGATTTTTTAATATTGGTCCTAGAATGGCATATACAGGGCCTACATTGGCCAAATAATGGATATAAAATATAGGGTGAATCTGAGGATTCTACATAGAACCGATATTGGTTGTAAAGTGGCTGTTAAATATTGGGTGAAGCGGAAACTTCTATATACAGGGATGAGAGTAGTCAGAAAGTAAAAAAGAGGAAATCCAAAAAAAAAAAAATAAAAAAAAAAAAAAAAAAAAAAAAANATATATATATATAAACAAAAATGTGACAAAAAAAGTGCGATTTTTAAACTTGTAAACCATGTGAATATAAAAACCGATATGAGATTTTTAAATCATGTAAATATGAAACTCTACATCGAATTAAAAAAATGCGAAAATACAAATCATGATTTTTTAATTTTTTGATCACGATGCATAATTTTTAAATAGCGCGATATTACAATCACAAAAACCAATCACGATATTGGATTTTAAGCTCGCGTGAATACGAATTGCTACATAGGGCTTCAAAAGCTCGTAAATACAAATCGCGATATTGATTTTTTAAATCTCGTAAGTAAGAATCGCAATGTACAATATTTAAATCGCCTGAATAAGAATCGCAATGTGCAACTTTTAAATCAGGTAAATACGAAAATGGATGATTGATATTAAAATCGCGTGAATAAAAATCGAGATATTTGAAGAGTCTGGACTTGTGATCTCTAAAAGGCTTGTTTGTATTGCTTAGGCATAATAGATAAAAATTTACAAGATTAATTGAATGAGCAAATAAATATTTTCACCGCAAATCCACCTCTATTTTTTTTTGTTTGTTTTCACGCCAGAATATAATAAGCAGCGACGTCTGAATTACGAAAATACGAGCTATCCAGCCGACGGATAAAAAATACGGAAAATCGTATTTTCTGTGCGTGAAATCGGAGAAAATAGCTAAAATAAGTAAAAATGCGGAAGAATTAGCAGTTAGGGCGTAGATTGAATTTTTTTGTTTATCTTTGAAAATCGTAAATAAATATAATTATTTTACTTCAATGACTGATTTTAAAAAAAACGGGATATTTATTTAAAAAAACGAAACTTTTAGAGAATCGGAGTTTTTGATAAAAAGGCTGAAATTCGAGAGACAAAAAAAATCTCATCCCTGTATAAAGGTCAACCAGTTTTATCCCAAGGAAATGACTTTTAGAGAAACTTCAGAGGGAGGAAAAGGGACTTCAACAATTTCCCTCCGCGGAAAATTAAATTCCTCATAAAACATTTTAACTTGCGCAAAAAAAAAATTTCAGCGGAAGGAAAAATGGAAAAATCTGAAAAAAAGCGGAAATCCGTGGAAGAATCTCATCCCTGTATATAGGGCCAATACTGGAAAAATAATGGCCCTTTAGATTCAGGAATATCGGCCCAAGTTATATTGCTGCTAGGGTAGTCTAAAAACCGACATTAGACGCAAACAAATTTCTAGTCAAATACAAAACTTTGTTATCGAAAAATAAGCTAAAAATAATTTAAATTAATAAGAATTCTTTAGAATGTACATTAATATTTGATCAGTTCGAAGAATTTAACTAAATTTTCAAAAAGTTGACATCATGTGTCAATCATTTTGGATGCAAGAAAAAAAATTGCAAATTTAATAATTAAGTATTTATAGAAATATTATATTTTTATTTCAAATTTGTTTGATGGTACTGAACATGATATTTTGAGGAGCAAAGGAGAAGTTTTAATCAAATAGAATCTTTAATTCTTATCATCATTTGATTGTGCTTAACAGCATTACTTGTATTATGTAGTATTTAACTTGTAGACATACATTAACATCGTATAGAGCCAGACAAATGTATAAGTTGACCCCAACCATATATAAGTTCGAAAAGTTGATTTAGACTCTGGAAAATATGACAAAAACATAGCATATAATAAAAACATAAGAAATAGTAAATGATCATTATACTAGTCTTGCAGAATATGTCAGATTGCACAAATGGAAATGCAGGCAGCGCCCTGCAAAAATGTTTGGTCTAATTAAAAAAATTGCGAAATTTTTGCAATTTTAATAATTATAAATTATTACTATTTCAATAGATCTTGATTTCTATAATATTTAACACACATGCTAGTTTATTCAAAACTTGTGAATTCAGAAAGAATTTTTCTTTGTTAAAGAAAAAATTATAAAAAATTCTTAATATACAAACTCAAATTTCGAAAACCTTTTTGAAATAACAGTTGTTACTATAAAACAACAATCACACTTCACAAAGTATGAATACATGATCATATGTAATACAAATTTTTTTTGTTGAATGGTATATTTTTTTAAATAAATTATAAACTATTTATTATATAATGACACATAATATTTTTAGAAGGCTTTCATAATTATTAAAAGAAATATGATGTACTTAAATAAATAAGTTTACATAAAAATCACATTTCAGATATAAATATTACTAAACTACAGACAAGTTTTTAAAAAAATATATATTCATATTTTAAAACCAATTCATTTTCATTAATTTCATTTTTTCTTAGAATGCCTCGCACAACTTTACCACAAATCTCATATTCACACGTTAATTATTTAATTGTTTGTTAATTTCTTGATTTTTCAATCATTTACAGTATTTGGATGCATAGTCAGATGGACTTCTGCGTTTCAATTTGTTAACACTCGAAACAGAATGTGAATTATATGAAAAAGTTTTAATCAGAACAACATTGACACTGCGATGATTAAATCATACCTTATCCAATCTTGCCAGCATTCCAAAATGGGAACAAAACCGGTTGGCTGTACTCAAGGTTAGCAGAACCATTACAATATAATAGAAAGGATGGATTAAGAAGAATGACACACACCCTTTTTTTTGGGTCACCTACGGATTATACGCAATCCAATTCCGATTATTTAAAACTCTACCGTACATTTAGCATAATATATATTACTTTTCTCAAAAATTTTGTGACTACTTTGTCTATAAAATGCAGTAATAAAGCGCAACAGAAGTTTAGGACAAACAAATTTTCCACACTTCTTAAAATGTACACAATAACTATGAAACCATTTAGGAGTTCTAATCACAAATGAAAGAATTGCTTCATTTTTTAAAATATTTATTTTTAAATATTGTTTCTAGGGTGAGCTAGTTCTTTCTGTTTCAAGTTCTTTTAAAGAAATCTTTACAAATTCTCGATGTTCAACATTTGGAATAATTTCAAAGGCCTCTTGCAGTTTTTTATTATCATTTTTATAATAAAATTTAACTTCTGTAACATAATTAAACCAAACACAATTTGCACAACCATCTTCACAACAATCTGCTGGATTGGGTGGTTCTGGTGGCAAATTGTTTTGCTTATCTTTCATATTCTCTTCAGACAAATTTCGGAAATTTGATGAAATTGGAATGTTTTGATTAACATTGCAAAATTGTTGGAAGAACTGATTTTGTACTTCAGAAAATTTGCCTTTAGAAAAGCATCTTAAACTCTGAGAAAATTCTGAAAATCTAATAAATTTCGCCATCATAGTGCCAGAGATTCATACCCTTATTCCAACCCTATAATAGAGACAAATGAATCAGAATAATTATTTTTTTTCTAATAAATATAATGAGGATAAATTTTAAAACTAAAATAATATAAAAAGAGTTAAAATATTGCTTCATAAACAGACATGATCATTTCAGTACTGTAATAAAAAAATTTTAGTTTTCAAAAAAAAAAAAAAAAATTGCAAAGGAAAGAAGAAACAAGTTACAACAAAGGAAAAAAAAATATTAGTCACTGAAATAGAGAAACAAGATCTTGTTTGTTTACCCAACCAATTATTTCTTTGCTGTAACCAACTAGTAATTTTAATTGCCCTTATTTATTTGCTTTTTTTTTATATTCTATCAGGGATCTGCAGTTGAAAAAAATTTTTTGTTCCAATTTCTGCCCCAAGATAACAAGTTAAAGCTCTGGCTCCAGCTTTAGCGTTTTTACTTTATAACTGTGCACAATTTTGATTTTCTGATTTTAATTAGAAATTTTTTACAAAGAACAATTATTATTAAAAGTACATAAGTAACCTAATAATATAATAAATAAATTTTAGATAATATTACGATTGGTACCTATGTCAATTATTAGATACTAAAATGAAAATGATTATTGCATTACCAAATTTAANAATTGCATAAGAAAGAAGAAACAAGTTACAACAAAGGAAAAAAAAAAATTAGTCACTGAAATAGAGAAACAAGATCTTGTTTGTTTACTCAACCAATTACTTCTTTGCTGTAACCAACTAGTAATTTTAATTGCCTTTATTTATTTGCTTTTTTTAATATTCTATCAGGGATCTGCAGTTGAAAAAATTTTTTTGTTCCAATTTCTGCCCCAAGATAACAAGTTAAAGCTCTGGCTCCAGCTTTAGCGTTTTTACTTTATAACTGTGCACAATTTTGATTTTCTGATTTTAATAAGAAATTTTTTACAAAGAACAATTATTATTAAAAGAACATAAGTAACCTAATAATATAATAAATAAATTTTAGATAATATTACGATTGGTACCTATGTCAATTATTAGATACTAAAATGAAAATGATTATTGCATTACCAAATTTAAAACAAGATTAAATAAAATATATCATCCACGCACAAATTATCTGTATTAAAATAAAAATCTATATTACAAATTTTTTTTTTATTTTTATGATTTTAAATCTGATAATTTAAAAAAGACGCAAAATAGATTAGAAGAAAAAACTAAAATAGCCCTGGTGTATGGGAATATTTAGAGTTTCAGTTACAGGGAAAACAAAGCTCCAAGTCCCTGAATTCGACCTTTTAATATTGAAGAAGTTACATTATCATAAAGTACTGAAATATTCATAAATCTGTTTAGGTAACAATATTTGTGTTCTTTTATTCTGCTTAAGTTAAGTTCGGCAATTTTTAAACACAAAATTAATTTAAATTCACATTATTAAAAAAACCTACAAACAGGGAAGGGATGATGGAACGAAATGACATTGAATATTAATAGTTTTAATCACTCACAAGAATTCTGTATCAGTTGTGTGGCAGGCAATGGATTGGAATGGATGGCTCATTAGAAAGTCCTAAAAATATTGTACCATCAAACTGTTTTTATTGTTTTACTATTATTAAATTTCTTTATCAAACAGGGTTTCTTTATTCAATTCACCCATTCGCCACTGAATCATTCTGTAACAAATCCCACTCAATTTATAAAATAAATGCAAGGATTTTTTAATGACTTTCAAGAGCCTAAAATCAAATGTTTCATGAACCTACTAGCATAAATAGCATGTACAAATAGATTTTACAGTGAAGCATATATTAAAATTATCAATTTTACATTATTCAGCAATTGTGGCTATTTTTTAATATGTGTAGCCCACAGCAACCAAAGAAAATGGTTTCATAGTTACATTGTGATTTAAATAAGTTTGAAGATTAACAAAAAATTTATAATTGACTTACCAACTTTTAAAGACTGGCACCAGTAAAACTTTGTGAACAATTCAATGAAGCATATTAGAATTAATTGAAAAATAATATTTAGCATATCTGTTTCAATATTAGAAAAACACAATATCTTTTTATTACCTCAGATAATCAGTTATGTATTTTAGAAATAATAAAATCTTTAGTATAATGTTTTGACAGATAAATTAAGATTTATAGAACTTTATTTTTTTCAAAATAAGATAATAAATCATAAAACATGATGTTGAAAATTGAGTAAATACGATTCATTATACTTAATTTTTAAGTCATGTGAATATAAATCGCAATAAATAAACATAAATCAAATAGACGAATTTTGGTCTTTAGAGAGATAAACTAATCAAATGTAAAAAAATAAATATATAATATTTATATAGTAGAATATCGATTAACCAGGATGGTCCGGAAATGCTACATCCTGGATAAGCAAATTTTGATGAAAAAATCTTAGAAAAATTAATTTTTTCTTAGAATGTCTCACAGTTTTATCACTGATCTCATATTCACACATTAATTATTCAATTGTTTGATAATTTTCAGATTTTTCAATTATTTTCAGTATTTGGATGCATACTAAGAAGGACTTTTGTGTTTTAACTTGTTAACACTCCAAAGAGAATGTAAAGCACATGAAAAAGTTTTAATCAGAGCAACATTGATACTGCAATGATGATTAAATCATACCTCACCTTATATAGTCTTGCCAGTATTCCAAAATGGGAACAAAACCGGTTGGCTATACTCAAGGTCAGCAGGACCATTACAATGCAATATAAAGGATTGATTAAGAAGAATGGCAACTTCACACCCTTTTCTGGGGGTGGTGGAAGGGGGGTCACTTATGGGTAGTCCGCAATCCAGATTATTTAAGAGTCTACTGAATATTTACCATAATAAATATATGAGATATCTCAAAAATTATGTATCTATTTAGTCTATAAAATGCATTACGTCACAGAAGTTTAAGACAATCAACTAATTTTCCACACTTCTTAAAATGTACACTATAACTATGAAACCATTTAGAAGTTCTAATCTCAAACGAAAGAATTGTTTAATTTTTTTTTTAGAATATTATTACTAGGCAGAGTTAGTTCTTTCTGTTTCAAGTTCTTTTAAAGAAAATTTTACAAATTCTTGATGTTCAACATTTGGAATTATTTCAAAGGCTTCTTGTAGTTTTTTATTATCATTTTTATAATAAAATTTTACTTCTGTAACATAATTTAACCAAACACAATTTGCACAACCATCTTCACAACAATCTGCGGGATGAGGTGGTTCTGGTGGCAAATTGTTTTGCTTATTTTTCATGTTCTCTTGAGACAAATTTGGGCTATTATTTGATGAAATTGGAAAATTTTGATTAACGTTGCAAAATTGTTCGAAGATTGGTGATCTTAAAATTGGAGAAAATACTGAAAATCTGATAAATTTAGCCATCATAGTGCCAGAGATTCATACCCTTATTCCAATCCTATAAGAGAGACAAATGAATCAGAATAATAATTTTTTTCCAATAAATATAATGAGGATATATTTGAGAACTAAAATAATATAAAAAGAGTACAAATATTACCACATAAACAGACATATGATCATTTCAGTACTGCAATGAATAATCTCCAGGTTTGAAACAAAAAATGTAAGTAAGTTACAACAAAGGAAAAAAAGGATTAGTCAATGAAATAGACAAACAAGATCTTGTTTGTTTATCCAACCGGTAATCAAATTCTTCTTTGCTGCAACCGACTTGTAATCTTCCTTGCATTCATTTTTTATTTTTAACATTTTATCAGGGATCTGATGGTGAACAAATTTTGTTGCTCCAATTCTGCCTCCAGGAACAAGCTAAAGTTCCGGCTTTGGCATTTTTACTTTATAACCACGCACAACTTTGATTTTAATGTGAAATTTTTTATTAAGAACAATAATTATTAAAAGGAACATTATTGTAATAATAAAAATGAAATTTAGATAATATTATAATTAGTACCTTTGTCAATTATTAGATATTAAAATTAAAATAATTATTGCATTACCAAATTTTAAACAAAATTAAATTAAATATATCATCCAGGCACAAATTATCTGTATTAAAATAAAAATCTATATTAAGAACACAAAATTTTTTTATGATTTTAAACCTGAAAATTTAGAAAAACAAAAAGATTATATATATATATATATAAAAAAAAAAAACTAACATAGCCCTGGTGTATGGGAATATTTAGAGTTTCAGTTACAGGGAAAACAAAGCTCCTAGTCCATGCCTTCTATTTTTCAATAGTGATGAAGATGTTTCATTATCATTATAGTACTGAAACATTCATAAATCTGTTTAGGTAACAATATTTGTGCCGCTTAAGCTAAGTTCAGAAATTTTTAAACGTAAAATTGATATAAATTCAGATTATTGCAAAAATCTACTAACAAGGAAGGGGCGATGGAACGAAATTATATTGAATATTAGTGTTCTCATTTACCAGTCCGTGGACAATATTTTCCAAAGAAAAATTACTTTATTCTTTATAATGAGTCTTGGTGTAGGAAATATAAATGATTCCTCAAAGGTTTTCTTATAAGCTCAATCATTAGTCTCGAGCATTTAAAAAGCTTCAATTGTTCATCAATTAAAATTTCATGTTTTAATTAAATCCAAATTTTTTCTAGCAATGCTTTGGAAAACATAGAAAATTCTGTCAAAATATCAATCATGAGGGCCAGATTTTTTATTTCTTAGGCATTTTTAATATAGGAAAGGCTCCATGCATTGAAATAGGGTTCCTGTTACGAATTTCCTCCTAATCACTCACAAGAATTCTGTATCACTTATGTGGCAGGCAATTAGTGTTTTTATTACAGAAAAAAAAATGGGAGAGAATTTTTCACCCTTTCTCAAAAACAGGGTGAGATTTCGAAAAATTAAAAAAACACAAATAGACTCGGAAAAAAATTATTTCTTTATTTATAATATTTAACATCTTCTATTTTTTAAATTAGAATATTTTGCTGCATCATCATATGGAAAATGTTG